CATTTGGTGTTTTGCCATTTTGACAGGTCTTATGGCATCCAGTATTTTAGAGCTGCCTATTCTCAGCTCTTCTCTTAATTTGAAAATAAGTGTCATTCTGTTTCATTTGATCAGTGATGAAGAAAAACGTACTTTTCCTTACCTGTCTCTTATACACATCTCTGAAGTTTTTCTCGCAAATCTGACTACAAAACCATATCCAAATTTCACGTTCCACTTTTGACCCTGAGTTGTGCTTCGCACTCGCCGCTGAGGGCGGCGTTCCGGGAACCCTGCGTCAAGGAGGATGTGCGGTAGTAATCGTTGTTTTTCTGCTTGTTTGTTATCCGTAAACAAAACTATTGAACGGGTTATCATAATATTGTTAGTTGAGCGGTAGATGTGGCTTCTAGGCGTATCTAGGAGTAAAGGGGATGATGTGGGAGCGATTGTAAGGAGGTGATTTTTGCTTCGAAAATTTCAATGGGGGCGACTAGGGTTAGAGGCTGGAGGAGAGGGGGTACACCCACCACTGCTACTAATGCCATCGAATCGACGGAGAACAGCACGGCATGCGATAAGAAGAAAGAGGGTTATTAAATTTGCAATCAAAGTAGAAGGTATTCCTATCTATATTTAGCAGAAAGTGGGATAAAAACTGTTTTTCACATATATTCTTACCTGCTGTTTCTTTTTGGTCTGTCCATTTCAAATTTCTAGCCTTAACAATTATCACCATTAGCCGTGCTGCCGTCGGCAGATAGCTCAATGAAACCAGCACATCGCCTAAGTCCATGGTAGTCTGAAACAAAATCGGAAACCGAACGAAAGTTTCATATCAGATCCAAATATTAATAAGCCTACACATAAACTAAGGATATTATGATACTAGAAAATAATGTAACCAGTTACATCGTTGGTGGCGCTATTGACGATCAGATAAGGCGATACGATTACGTTGACCTTCTTATATGACATCAATTAATAGTTTGGTATCAAACGGCAAGATTACGTACACCATGGACCTATTAATAACACTAATGTCTGTGCTTTATGTTATATATATTATCCTTCAACGCTTCGATAATTTTGTTTATACTGTATACTGTATTAGGCATAAATCATCATCATCAACATTTTCATTATCATCGTTATCATCACCATTATTACATTATGATTACATTTATTATTATTACAGTATTATTATTATTATTATTATTATTATTATTATTATTATTATTATTATTATTATTATTGGTATTATTATTATTATTATTATTATTATTATTATTATTACTATTATTATTATTATCATTAATATTACAGTGTTAGTAAGCCTATACACTATTTCGATAAAATAATTATAGTGTACGTGTGACTACCACGTAAACACGTAGCTTTTCAGTCTGTTGATTTCTATATTGCCTCTGTAATGGGCCTACGTGTGAATATTCCTACCTCATCGTCTGACATCTCGGCTAGATCCAACCAAGCAGTGAATGGATTTGGTACAAGGTTCAGATCGCTCAGTCTAAGCCTACATACTCCTAGCATTCCGATGCGAGAGAATCTATCGCAACTTAGAACTACTAAACGAAGAGCACGGTAGTCCAGCTCCGATTTAGGAATGTTGAATAAAAACTTCTCATTGTAAATTGGACTAAGACAACGATGTGCAATCTTTAAAAGAAGACAAGGAAAAAAAGCGTGTGTAATATAGACTGCGCACAATGAAAACTTTCATATCTACAACAATAATAATTGATGAAAACTAATGATGTTTTAAATGGTTCAAAACGACCAAGGAGCCTCTTTGTTATAACTGCTTTCATATATTATAAATTCTACAATTAGGAGTTTTTCCCGTCTTAGGTCTGAACAAATTCTTAGAATTGCAACAATAAATAACTTGAATGAATAAAATTTTCATTTTCGTTTCCAACCTCTACACAGGTAAAAGTCCTTGGTTTTATTTCCCTTGAATCTTTGAACTAAAACGTTATACCGACCTCTACGATTGTTATCATCATTTCAATCAGATAATCTGTACGCAATTGTAAACTATATTTCGGAGCAGATGTTATTTTATTTATTCAATAATCATACACTGTTAACAAATGCCGCAAGGTGTAAACGCCGATGCAGTTTATGAGACTTTATGTAAAATAATAAAAGCAACATAAGAATACTTTTAAAGGGGGAAAGCAAATAAAACATTATCTTGTTATCATTCTTATTCCAGCAGATTATTCAAAAACTGTCTCTAAATCATGATCAGCGTAGTGTATTTGCGACAGCTTAAGTACGCACATGGCAGAAAAAGTGAAGAGTTAATGAAGTTGATATTTCGAAAAGAAAAATGTGCCTGACTTTAATAGATTAATCTACATACGTCCACATATTCATAATTATAAATTCATGTAAACTTCTTTTGAGAAGTTTTTAATTATTGTAACGTTTATCGTTGTTTAAACAATTATACAATTTGCAATATTGATATGAATTTGATTCTGGCGTTATCAAACTTCTAAATTCATAAACGCACAAATTGTCACTTAACCCGTCTTGTATAATACACATTTAAATTGAATAAAGCCCCAAAAGTTTGACCCTAATTACTTATTGACGTGTGACAACACGTTAAACGTCCACACGCACATATTAAGATATTGATGATGACGTTTAGCAACTCTGTGAATACTGTACATCTTTGAATTCAAGGTTGACATTTTGTCGCTTTAAGGCCACTGCAGATTGTCTTCGACCTGTCTCCAAAATATAGCAATTACCACTACCTAAGCAGAGCACTTAGTTGGCAACAGATAATGTACGGGCAACGGGTAACATTTAGAAATAATAATTTAAAAAAATGCTCAAGCCAGACCAACAAAAAGTCTATTGGAAAACAGCTAAGCCATACAGAAAACATACAAAAAAAAAAAAAAATCGACGGACATAAGAATATAGTAGACGCTGTGTTTCGGCAACATAACAATTTTTATTTCGACTCAACTGACAACGCGTGGGCGAATTAATTGGGCTTACAGAAATGTGACAGCATAAACCTACCTTTGTATGTGCCTTAGATTCTTCGTCGGGCTCAATGAAAATCTTTACAAAAGTATCCAAAGGCTTGTGTTGATTGGTCATTTTCAAATCACGTGCTTGTACAATAGTTAGTAATAAGCAACCGGAGTCTTCTAGATAATTAATTGTTATTTCTAATTGTCCAGTTCTATAACGAATAAAATTATTATTATTCTTATTATTATATATTATAAACTAGAAAATTAGATAAATAACAGCAAATTCGAGCACTGTTACTATTAATCTATATATATATATATTACCGTGTACATATATATATCTGTCTCTTATACACATCTAGATGTGTATAAGAGAAAATTTTGCTGCGTAGCATTGTAAGTACGATAAAAACAGTTTCAGGACATAAAGCTCTTAAAATGACATTTCAATCTCCAGGGTATACATCACCAGATGGCGCTCTAACGTTTTGGATTCTGCTTTACGTAACAAATTCAGTTTGCTGCATAATAGTAGAAAATAATGATATAAAATAATGTATATTTAGAATCATATATTTTATACCTTACATACAGTACCCTTGTATGTAAGTTATTGCTTTCTCCGAGTTCTTAAATATGAAATATAATTAATAAGCAAGAGCAATAATGAACTTACGAACTCGATTGTCCTTCGAATATTGATGAATCGGAAGCTACTGATTCCAGAGACTCAGCAGAGGCACATCTACCCAGAGGCGTGCGGGCGAATGTTAGCTCTTGATCTTCATATAAAGCACTAGAGGTGTCCCTGTTTGGTGATTCCACAATGGTATCTGATGCATCTTTTGACTCTATACTTCTCTCATCTGTTTTCTAATGTGATTTTAAATAAAAACATACTATTACGACCTGTGTTGAGCTGACATACCGGTACATATTCATATTTTTTTCTTCAAATGATGCCGGTAGATAGGTAATAAAATAGACTATCACTTGACACAAGTGACGCAAACTATACGATTTGTATACGCGCTGACGCAAAATGTAAACGCGTTTTTTAGTTGACGCATGCACGTTTTGAAGGCGAGTTGACCATCACAAACACGATGTTTTTTTAATTGCGGCCAAAAGGGGATTTTAGTCTATGTTTTTAAAGGACGAATACACAGTATTGGTTTTGCAACTGATACCAAGTTCTAGAAAGTGATCGGTTGATGTAGCCTACGCATCTCAGTCCAAATCAATGTTCAACAGCCTCTACAGAGTGTAATAGACCAAACGATGTACCGTAAATGCTTTTACTGGTAAAACTATATTATGTAGTATCGATCTGCTGATTGCATTTTAGTAAAGCGATGGAGGAATGGTAAAATCAGGGAAATGGCCTAGATCTTTATGCGTAAAAGTATACCTTCAATTTTTCGAAGACGGATTAGCATATGAAGAGCAACGCACAAGCCAACTCAACATTTCATAATTCTGGAGAGAACGTGCTTCAAATTTGTACTGACAATCTATGGAGAATACGAACAACCTACGCAAATACTTCTTACTACGCAAGTTCTACGATTAATAATACAAGTGTAGGCTTATCTATTAATAGAACTGTACTTCTAGCTGTTAATGATGCTAACAAAAACAACCTTAATATATTAACACATTTTAAAAGTTATTCATGCTCCACTTAAAAAGAGATGTTCTTAATTGATATAGGTTAGTAATGAATTAAAAGTTCTCTGCATACTTACCGTTTTGTCGGTAGTACCGTAGGTGGCGCCCTCCTCTATTTTTACCACCTCATTCTCCTTTCGATTTGTGATCCTCAATAGATATTTTTTCATCCGTTCAGATCCGCAGAAATGATTCCATGCTGCCGCAGCCCCAACACCACTAGCAGTTAAGGCACAGAGCACAACGGCAACCACAAGAACACCCATCACACAGAATACCTGAAAATGCGAGATTCGAGCAGCTTACTGGACAGGGTGCTTATGAGTAGCTGTTGTTAATAAAAGCTTATACGTTACCGTATGTGGTATAATTACTTTGGGATGCGAATATATTTTCATATTCACACGGATGAAGAAGGCCATAGGAAGTTAAAACATTACACGGGATTGGGCGTCATTCACGATAGTGCGATACATCATGAAATATACCAATATGACATTGAAGACGAAACCTGAAGAAAGCCTAGCTTTACTGAGCTGATAGAAGGAGTTTGTTTATATAATTCGATAATCAAGAAAATGACAAATCGAATATGAAGATAATAACAAAGCATTCTGTATTTTTACCTAATGGCGTTATGATAAAATGAACCCGACGATGAAAACGATTTTTATTTTTTAAGTGATGTATAAATAGGGCCTATCAATAATAATTTCGGCATAAATAATCTTAGTGAATGTGATTGCAGTAGGACTAATGATCAACGCTTAAAGGGATATGACGGTAACATGAAAATGAGGATAACAAGAGAAATAGCAGTAACCGTGGAGAAAATTTATGATTAGGGCCTATAGCACCTGGCCCGAAATGGCACTCTCAGACTTAAATTTTAATATAATATCGTTTTTCCAAATTTCTTTTATAATTTTGAAAAAAAAAATGGAGAGGGAGGGCGGGCCGGCTTGGTCATCCTTCAATACACCACTGATTTGAAATCAACACAGTAATCAATAATTACTCATCAATATTAAGTCGGAAATTACTTTAAATTATTATTTTTAAGTCTGTTTATGAATGGGCCCCTAATATCATACGCCATTGACTTACTGCCATAATATCGGCGCTGGTTCGAGCGGGGTTTTAAGTTTTCTCGGATAAGGACTATAAACCGTAGGGATAGTATACACAATACACGTGAGCACTTTTGAGACGAGTAGTGAGATACTAAGGTGTGCTGGTCCATTCAGATCATGTGGTGGACAGAGGAAAGTAGCTGGTACCGTTTTTTTGGGTAGCTAAGACTGGAAGAGACCATTAAGGGTGCAGTTACTGAAAAAGATATGTCTATGCATCGAGCGTCAATTCGGCGGATACCGGCGCTATACAAATATTCACTATTATTGTTATTATTTTGTATGAACATTAAAAGAATACAGAGATACGAGTTGTTTTTAAGCGTTTAATTCGGGGGTGGGGGGATAGAAAAAATCCTCCTATGTTTTAAAAGTTTATATTGTGCCTATAGTAATTCTGTATAATTATAGCAGGATCGGTCTTATTCATGATTAAGCTAACGGTCCGCCTTTGCTTGTTTTTGTCTTCGGGTTTGGGTGTAGTTCAGGCAATTGCCGTATTCAGCTAAGAAGCCCCATCCCTGAATTGTTGCTGAGAAATTCTATAAAACGACAGTGTTACATTAGTCCTACGTATGCTGTGTGGGACATGCTCGACATGCAAGCATTCCTCAGATCCATTTGATTATTCAGTTAAAGATGACGGACTCCGGAAACGTACAGTAGCCTTATTGGAAATGTACGAATGTGAGATTTCCACGGCGATTAAGATCAGAAAAGAAAAAAAAAGTAACTAATTTGTTACCCAGATTATAGTGTTTTAAGCAATTTAAGCTATCCAATAATATTAGATTTGAGTTGGTTCGTTTAGAAAGTCATCATAAAATAGCGGTTTCAATGAATTGAGTATGATGATTAGAATGACGTATGTTGTTGATATTCTTCGTAATGTTGATATATGACCGGCTCCGCTAAATCTACGTATTTGATACTAAGATTAATGACATATTTGACTTGTTTATTGTTAATATTTCTTGGTAGTGGCACATCATCTACATTGTCACGGGTATATTGTTCACCTCAGAATATTTAAATCATCCTGCTAAACATTTAAACACCATTAGCTGAGATGCATCACGTAACCCAATAGGCCTACATAATAAACACGCTCCTGCTACAAGCGCGTGTGATAATATAACGCGTATACGCGAAGTTGCCACTTAAAAGGCAAGCTGCTTAACTTAAGTATTTTATAAGATTTAAGAAAATCTTATGATTCCAAACCTGGAAAGAAAAGCCTTATTGCTGGTTAGTATTACCAGGTGGTCGATGTCGATGAAAGTGTGTACAGAAACACATGCGCACAATCATATTCCACCAAAATAGGACTAATGCATTTACGGCATTCGCAGTTGGAAATACCACCAAGAAACATAAGTTATTATATTTGTGTGTGTGTTTATATGTCATGACTTTTCATTTGTTTGTATTGGATGCGTGTATGTGCGTGTGTAATCGGCATTACCTATTATTACAGACGGATAGGAATGCATGGTGATAATGAAAAAGATCCATCTTATGCCATGTTTCGATAGTAATTAATCAATTCAGTAAATTTAATATCTAAGCATATTACTTAAAAATGATTGCTTCAGGCAAGTCGGTCAGATCATATCATCGTAACTTGAGCTATCTGGCGAACGCATGATAATGTGATAATATAAGGCCTTGCCTTGCGAGTGCAGCCACGAAGCCAGATACGAATGATTAAGCATTATATATCTGCAGAAAAGGCCTTGAGCAGAACTCACTACTGCACAACGCTTTATCGATATATAATATACTGTAAATATCTATTTGCAGAAACATAATGATAATAATAATGATGAGGATAATAATAATAATAATAATAATTTATAATAATAACAAAATCAATAACAATATATCCATTACAGGGAAGACTTCATATACGAAGCTTAATATCTCTTATATATCTTATATATATCTTATATATATATGTATATATATATATACAGTATATATATAAGCCTATATACAGATGT